CATTCTCCAGGTTATCGGCTTCCTCCGAGATCTGCGAAAATATTGTCTGCTCATAAAAACCTGCATCCTTCTCCAGATCCAGATCAATCTCCATCTTCATCGGCATTTTTTCTGAGAAAATTTTGGCTGCTCTGCGAAAATTTTGGATCTAAGTGTTATATATTGCGGTGATTCGCGCCTTAAATTCTGAAAAAATAAGCGCCAAACTAAATTTAACGTTATCTCCCGGGTCGGGTTGAAAGACGGGTCGGGTTTACGAGGTTTACGCAAGTCAATTGACTTTTTAACCCTTTCCACGTAAGCAACCGAACACATCTATGTGATCGGATTCCACACAGAATAATTTCTCCAAGATTGGATAGAATAGGATATGCTGAAAGAGTCTGTAAAAGTTATTTATGTAATTTTCAATTTATTGAGTCAAGTCTTGTAAAAGTGTAGGATAGCCTAGTGATCGTGCACACACACTCATGGGAATGAGATAGCGAGAAAAATTACAAGAGTAATTTTTTGAAATAATCGTACTGTACGATCAGCTACTTAAAAAATTATTAAAATGGCTAATTGTGTAATTAAAGTTATTTAACTGATCGTACTTGATGATCAGTTGAAATCATGAACTCAACCGCCAATCATAATTTAGGTAATATTTTTAAATACAAATTACGTACTAATCATAATGTACGATGCAATTAAATCTTGCCTAAATTAATCTTGCAATTAGGGATCAAATTTAAATTAATTAGTCTAGTAAGATCATATTGTACTATTGGATAAATCGTACTGTACGATCCGATCTTTGCATAGGACGATATTTTATCATTGCTAATCGTTTGAGACGATAATCCAATTTGAATGTACTAATCATATTAGACGATAGACATATCGTACTAAATGATCAGCTCAAATACTTTAACCGATCGTACAGCTCCTTACTCTTCATACAGTGTTAACAAAGATATATTGAACTAATTGTACCGTACTATCTGGGATTGTGCTGTACGATCAAAGTTGACTAAATTAAGTTTTCAGAGTTTCTTGAAGTCTTCTATTTAAGCTTTCTCATAAGACTTTGTAAGAGTCTTTTTGGCATTTATTGAATATTTTCCTCTAAAAAAAGTTTGAAGGGAAAGCCTAGAACTTGGGAGAGAAATGGTGGAGTTTGTGATAGAGGGAGAAGATCATTGTGGGTTGTAAGGAAGTTAGAGGGAATTCTACACGATTGCTCCGGCGAACTTGCACCTGAGTTTCTCCATGTGCTAAGATTTATCTTGAGGGAAGCTTTGGGAAGAATACCTCTTTGGTATCAAAGGACTCGGTTACGCTGCAGCACCGGGAGAGGTGAAAGTGATTCCAAATTCTCTATATTCACCAGGAGGTTGAAAAAGGATTTCAGATTTTCTGCCTTCATTAGGAGGGTTAAAAACAATTTCAGGTTCTATGCCTTTACTTGGAGAGTGAAAAAGGATTCAAGGTTCTCTGTCTCACTAGGAGAGTAAAAATGATTTTAGGTTCTTTGCTCACCAAGAGGGTTAAAAGGATTACGGTCCTCTGCCGCACTTATTGGTGGAAGAAATTTTGTAAGGACTTCTCCACCTAACTGGGGAGACTAAATGAGAGTCACTAAAGTGATAGTACAATACCTGGAGAGGAGAACTCCGGGGAGTGGACGCACAATAAAATTCTGATTTGTTTGTTCTGATTTCTTATTTTTCGCATTTTATTTTTCTATATTTTATTTTTGTGATAATCGCTTGGTAGAAAATTTGTGATTAATGATTTGCTCTGTTAATTAGAAAATCATCATTGTTATTTCAATTTTTGACAAGTTTATTAGCTTCCGCATCGATTGATAGTATTGCTTTCGCATTAGTGTGCCTAGAGACAATTCGCTTAGGTTTAACATCCTATATCGAACTTTCAATTTAAGCATCTTAATAACTTGCATAAAATATTATATTAAATTAAGGGATAAAAAGTAGTATATTAATATCAAAATTTGATATTTATGCAATTATAAGACATATTACTTGACTTCATGGTGTCTTTTAATGGACATAAATCAAATCCATCAAACATCAAAGCAATCTTAATTGGTCGACTCCTACTTCGATTTCTAACATTAAGAATTTTCATAGGTTAGCTATCTATAGACGATTTATTAGGAATTTTAGTACTATTACTACCCCTTCGATAGATCTTTTGAATAAGACAATTTACATAAGCTCCATCTACTTCTAGAGTTATTAAACAAATCAAGGTATTATTGACTACAATTATGAATCTCTTGCTTTTAGGAAAGCTTTTGACCTATCTTGTAAGCGTCATGATGTGAAACAAAGCAGGAGTTACTTTATGAAATTAAAGAGAGCAGATTTAACAAAATAATCCCAAAATAAAGTTACTACTTATAACGAAGATTGATCCTTGGAGTTCTTAGTTTTTAACTTGCTTAGGCAAAGAAGAGCGAAGTCGATTAACCAAACAATTCAAGAAAATGCAAGGAGTAATTGTACGCTATGACGATAAACAAGAATCCATGATTTAATAGTGAGAACTTTCACCTTTGGAGCCCATACGCTCAAATAGTCTAGGCTTTAGCGGAAGAAGAGTTTCCACATTAGAATCGAGGTTGCTCCGAGGAAGAAGGAACCTAGGATAGTCGTTCTTGGATAGGTGGCCTGAGTGGTGGAGGATGACGGTCGCCCAATGATGATCCAACGTCCCTTTGATCTTTGCTCGTCGATCACGTCAACTAAGGTGTAATGGATACGGTCGAGGTAATCTTCAATGGTGTCGTCGAAATCAAAGCCCACGTCAAAGAACGGTGATTGGAGGATGTCAACTAGATCTTGATCGTCATGTACAAATCCAAAGTTCCATTCGGGTTCCACCATGCATGGTGAGAGTGAGTAAGGAAGATAAAGCGGGCGGTGGGAGATTAGGCCGTGAGCTAGGGAGAGGGGTTCACGGGTTTGAGCTAGGGGATTCGATAATGGTGTGGGGTCAAATAGTAGAGTGCAAAAATTCTAAATTAATTTCAGGTTTTGGCAGGTTTAATGGTGGGATTTAAATTGAAATTCAAATTAAATCAAGGAGGGGAGGGGCGGTAAAGAGAGGAGGGAGTTGGGGCTAATTTTGTGGAGCTATTAAGGTGATTAGGAGAGAGAGGAGCCCAATGAGGGGGCCGGCCATGTAGGTGGTGAGGTGGCGTTGAGGTTTTGAGTAGGTTGGGACCACTAGTCTTAATTTCAGAATTTTAATAAAATCTGAAATTAAAACTTCAGTTTTTAAATGGGAAGAGATTCCTAAATTAAAGACATTCAATTAGATTGATTTCAAATTTCAAATTCGAAATTTAAAATCCAATTAAACTGAGGGCATGATTTAGGGAAGTAATTTAGGAAATAATTAATGGCTCAAGAAGCTCTAGAAGTTCAAATTTAAAATTCAAAGGAGGGGGGGAAAGGAGGAGGCGGCATGGGGAAAGTGGGCCGGTGGGCTGGGGCTGGCCGGCAGCTGCTGGCTAGCGGATTGGGCTGCAGACCGGTGGCCTGGGCAAGCCAGAAGGGGGCGGCGGCAGAGAGCAGGTGAAGGGAAAGGGTAGGGAAAATTGTAGGGATTCGAGGAGTGAAATCCAATCTCCCACAAATACTTCAACCCAAATTTCCGATACGACGAAGGGATCAAAAGAACTGAAGGAAAATTAATAGAGCAAGGAAACCTAGAACTCACAAAGAGATCTAGCTGCTCCTACGAACTCACTAAGAGATCGAGGAGTTTTGCACTCACAAAGAGAACAAGAAATGTAAACTTTCATACATCCAAACACTAATCTTACATAGGAAAATGACCATATATATAGGCCTCCAAATGACAAAGAAGACAAGACTAAAATGCCCCTTGGGCTACAATAGCGACTAAGTACCCATAAGGGCAAAAGCGGAAAAACATAAAAATAAAATAAACTACTACATAAAATGACAAAAAAAATACAGCTCATGATCGTGGTCGTTGATCTCCGGCGTCTCATAATGGTACATGTGTCGAAATTGCTGACGATGTCCTCATCACGTCAGGTGTTGGTATTGATGGCATTCTTAACCAAGAAAGTCATTTGGTTGCTAAGTGGAAAGTTCAATGAGGCTAAACAAAGATATTCTACCTATGATAGAAAACTTTATGCTCGCATCTATGCATTGAGATATTGATGATATTTTTTGCAACTAAAGAAAATCATTCTTATTACTATTCATTGGGCCTTGAAATATATAAATACTTAAAAAAGAAGTTGAGTGATAAGCATTTCAAGTGGTTTGAAATTCTTTAGGACTACACTTTGTCCTAAAATATACACCAGATATCCAAAAAAACTGGTAGATGCAATATCTTGGGTTTCCTTAATATTGACTTCTATTCATATTGAAGTGTCTAGTTATAGCATAATATGAGACAAGTATCTCAACAATTCATAACTTCACTTAATTTATCACAATCACAATGATATCTAAAAGAAAGATAGTGCTCACACAGCACAAAGAGGGGAGATGTTGAGAACCGACTTGAGCAAGACATGTACTGCCATTCCAGTCCGGCTTTAAATGTTGAACACAGTGTGAGGTTGTTCGTCTGTCTAATGGAATTATGTAGAGAAAATATCTCAAACAACATAGATGTCCCCTACTGCTAATGCAGCAACATTTCATTAAGCATTCTGACATTAATTTTTTATGGGTATGCCACAAGATGTTATAATAAAATCTATACAGGTTGCATTGCATTCAAAGAGAAATATACCTTCATATACGGACAGGAAGCACAACCACCATGAATAGAACATCCTTCACCTGCTGCCACTCCAGGAATAAGTGCTAGTTTTGCAATATCATCAGATGAAGCTGAACTTAGTCCATGGCAATCGTTTGATGATGTTCTAATCATCGAATCAGATGATACAGGGAACACAATCTCTACAGTGGTTTTTGAGCTTTTTGAAGAAGATTCCCCAGAATTAAGTAATCTACGTACTGCCGCAACAATGGCTGTTACCATTCCCGATTCTGTTCCCAATACAAACTGTAGATGATTATCACGATTGCTGTCGCAAGCATCTTGTACTCTTTGTGTGATGAAATCTAATATATTCTGGGTAGAGCCCACGACTCCCATTCCTCTTCTTTTTGCTTCGATTGCAAGAGAGAACATTTCTCCAGGAACTTCCAAATGAGCTGTCAGGAATGCATCAGAGTATAGCTCATTAATTTTCTCTACAACTTCATGACCAAACATGTCATGGACAATACATTTCCCATCCTGCAATTAAAATTCAGAAATAAAACATATATAGATAAATAGAAAAAGTAGTCTAAATTTAAAAAAATATCACTCCCTCTCTCTCTCTCTCTCTCTCTCTCTCTCTCTCTCTCTCTATAAAAACATAAAATGTTTAACAGAACATTGAGCATTAAAAAGCATAGAAGTCAAGCTATATATTAAGATGAACATGTACAAGGCAAAGCAAGACAAGTAAAAAGTCATATAAAAATGCATCCTTAGTTACCATTATAAAATAAATAAGTTTCAAAAGGATCCTATAAGCTCTCTCAATAAAAAAGGACAAAGTATAAACAAAACTTGCTGAGAATAGTGAAAATTCAGCTCTGTAACATGCAATACAATAGCAACTACTAAACTCATATATCAAAAAGTGCCCTTAGCTAGCATTCACATATCTTCCACCATTTCATATACACCTGGACAGTCTCCTTCTCTTTCTGTTATTTCTTATGAAGGTTCAGTCCCTTCAGTGAGTGCATTGCATTAAGTCAACTTCACCCACTCCATTTTCATCGTCTCTTTTGTGATACCACAAAAACTGACAATCAAGACTTCAACTACCTGTCCTAGTAACTCTGAAGTCTTTTAAACAACCTGAAACTGATTACTGCAATAAATTAAAAAACACAAACATAGATTGAAGAAAAATTGAACGTCATTTTAAATGCCTAAGGATTAGTTTGGCAAAAAATTTAACAACATACAAATGCTTATTGAAATGCACCGACAAACAAAGACCATAATTTAAGTAACATTCTCAATGTCCAAGGCATGCTTGGATTGAAACAAGGCAAGAAAATTAAAGATTTTGTTTGATTATTAATTACAACCAGTTGTTTGTGGACAATTTGGGGCCCTTTTTCCAGTGGGTTCTACTCTTTCTAAGATTCTAGCTATTATATCTCAAAATCCTGTAATTTATGTTCTATTCCTAATTTCTGGATTTGCTAATTAAGCAAACGTTCAAGGGCATGAAATGAGAGGCCAAAAGTGTCTTGAGAGAACAGCTAGACAAGATTGTGAGCTTGCTCAGTAAGAAATGGAAGAAAGAGCTACTATCATTTCACTCACATGCTAACATTCACAAATAGACTAAGAAAGGGGCAACTAAGTGAACATATACAAGAGTGAAGATAGGCCTGTAAAATCAACTCGGCTATGGATTTGAAATGGTATACATATGAAATTTTGACCTCCATATTTTTCCTACTATCCAATTAGGTTGAATACAATGATAAAGAAGAAAGTTGGAAATAGCGTCGTAACGAATCAGTTTAAAATGCATTACCCACATCAATAGAATCTGACATTTAATGTTACAATCACTAGAAAAGACCCCTATATTATCAGATTCATCGCATGAGAAAAATGGCATGTATAAGTGTTGCATGAAGCATCTTATAGAAGGTCGACCCATTACAACAATGGGATAAGTGGTAATGCTAATCTTAGCCCTATGGGAGGGCATAGTGCACACCCCGACAAGTAAACCAAGGTCACGAGAAGCAAAAAAGGAGTGACCAACATGAACGAAGGGTATATTCATTGTCATGGATCTGCATGATGGAATTTTAATAGAACTTCATTATTCCCTTACGAGTATTCCCTTGCATACCTCTCATGGATAACAGCTTGCCTTATTTATAATAGGAAAATGGGGGAAAAGATGGTTTACTGGTTATTTGTAACTAAAGAGTGGTAAGGAGAAGTGAATTAAGGTGAATTCAGCCATAAAAGTGACAGGAGAATAGCAGATCCAGTGGTTACGCCTTGCTCTCAATGAACTACCTCTAAACTAATCTAGACAGGAACTGATGGGAGAGTTGCTGTAGATTCTAACCTAACATGTGTTCTATGACGTTCAGGGTTCAATAAGGAGAGAGTTTTCATCAAACCCATGCAACACTGTTCATGGGCTTCTATGACGTTCAGGGTTCATATAGTAGCAGCATAAGTTTGAATTTGAGAATTGGATTTGGATTTGAGAATTGGATTTGGATTTGAGAATTTGAGAAGTTTGGATATTTGGAAAGATTTAATATTTAAAATAGAAATTTCACCATCTTTCACTTAAAGCGGATGGTGGGGGAATGGATGATGGGCTCGATCAAGATCCCATGGTTCCGTCATCCCGGGCCATCGTGGTCCCTGGTCTACTTAGTCAGAGGAGGTAGTCGACCCAACCTGACAGAAGGATCCTTGTCGGCAGCCATGGGTTGCTTCGTCCAAGGGAACCTTGTAGACCGGGGTGATGTTTGTCTAAGGGGACAAATTTAAATCCACCTTAGCTAACAAAGGGCTTTGTGCCCTATCCACCATTAGATCATTTTTGGGTTTTGTTCAAGTTCAATTCACAGTCCACAAGTCCTCTGTTGTGTTCTCTGGCGTTCAAAGCAATTCCAGGTCCAAATTGTTTCTTCTGCTATTTGAACTTTCAAATCAGAATGTAAGTTCAAAATCTTAGTACTTTTCAAATTGTTTGGGTTTGACGTGTGCACTTAGGTCGATTGAATCAAGTTTATAAGTCCGAGTTCATACCGTTCAATCAAGTCCAAGATTCTCACAAGCTGAGTCCAAGTTCGATTGTCCTTTGAGTTCAACCAAGTTCTAGCTCTTTGTTCTTGCATGTCATTCGAATGTAATCAGTCCAAGTGTAACATTGCGTTCACATCGAAATTTCGGAAGCCTTCGGCGTCTCCCCCGTTTAGGGGAAACTACGGAAAACTGGCCTTTCCCCACGCTAAGAAAAGCGTGTATGGGCATTTTTTTTTTAAAAAAAACATTTTGCAAGAAAATCATTTTTGAAAGTATTTTTTGCAAGAAAGACAATTTATTTCCGCAAGCGGATATCTTATGGGTATCCCGCTTCGTCGGCGCATCGCACCGGGATCCTTCCCACCATGCTAAGAAAAGAGTGTATAGGCGGGGTTTCCAAGGAGATACGAACTTCAAAGAAGGAATTTAGGTGATTCGCCGTTCGTGGCGCAAGCGTCGTGACGCACTCCTCCCACCACGCTAGAAAAGCGTGTATAGGTGGTCGTTTGTCTCGACGCATGCGTTGAAACGGGTTCTCGGAGTTTTAGGGTTTAGACTTTTTTTTATACCTGCGCGGGGTTGACGGCGTTGACTCGAGGCAAGAGAGAGAAGCAGGTATTTATTATTATTTTATTATTTATTATGATTTATATTAATTATGATAATAATTAAATAATTATTCAATAAATAATTAATCGCTAATTATTATTAATTATAATTAATAAGTTGATTCATATCATAATTAATTAATAATTAATTATAATTAATCGAAATTCAATTATTAATCTATAAATTTACAAGAATTTATATCTG